CCCTCCATGCATCATCAACCAACCAAAGGGTCAAGTCTGCCCCCTGGTCATCAGCTCACAGCCCCTCTCCCTCTCTGGGTCTAGAGTCCCCAGCTGCTCTATCTCTCCACGTTACTGTCTCTGCCTTCATCTCAGGCATCACTGCTTCTCTGGGTAGGGGCACACTCTCCGTTCTTCTCCCTTGATGGTCCCAGGGAGCTCCGCTCCTAGACTGAAACATTAATCACTTCCCTCCTTGCTACAAAACGTCTCACTTTACATTTCCAATCCTTACAGTCAGTCCTGATAACAATTACTCACTCACTATTGTATCACAAGACCTATCCGCATCTCCTTTCATCAGCCAGTCACTTCTTAACCTTTGTAGCCCCCAACTTTGGGTAGCCAATGTCCAAGTTGCCCATCCCATATCTACTCTCTATGGAGGGGGATGGGAATGAACCTCGCTGTAAAGATTTGTTCCCTCTTTTGAGCTACTGCATCCATAGGTGTAGGTCAAGTTCATCAATTTGTATCAGATTACTCTTTTCCTCCTCTTTCTTCTAGTTGAGTTCTGATCATCCAGTCATTGAAGCCAGATAAAGTGGGTATTATCTGCAAGTGTGGGTGTTCTTGTGGCTATGCCCTCTCCTTATTAGCTGGACGCTTCACTCTTGACTCTAGTCCTCTGTGGCTGTGTCACTGACTCTGAGCCCAAGAGTCTTGCTGGCCAACCAGGTCTCCACCCATGTCCGCAGGTGTCTGTTGAATGTTGTAGGGCTTAGCTCGCAGTTTCATTACTGTTTTTCCCTCAGTTCCTCTTATCAGATAGTGACAAACGTGGTCACCAGTGAGAGCGTGTATTGCCATTGAGTCTTAGTCTTGGAAGGGGCTTTGTTCTGAGGGGACCTGACCACTTGCTTTGAAGTCGCCTGGGCAAGCAACTTGCTTGTTCTTGTAGTAATCAGTCGGACTGCCTATATTGTTTTGTATTTTCCTGTAGGCCTTCCTTTCAAGACATATCTTCTGTTCTTTTAGCCGCTCCAGGCTGGTCTGCTTGTCCCTTCAAGTGGAAATTTCCCACCTCAGAAGATTCTGGATGGGGTTCAGGATTCCACCTATGGGCTTTATGTAATGCAGAAGCTCCACAGGAAGCCTCCTTCACTGAGCATGTTGAAGCCCCAATTTTAGGTATTCCCATCAGTTACAGGCGGAAGACGCACTTAACGAGATTTCTGGTGATAATTTCTGGCTATTCCTTTCTCTCCTTCTCAAGTATCTATTTTACTTACAATGTTATGCCAGGGAAACCAAGACTCAAAAGACAGCCAAGCATCTTAACATTATTTCCCCCCTTTTCCCCATTCCAACCATGTCTCAATCCTTGTATCCCAGAGCCCTGTTTCAAGGTTGTGCATACATCATTATTTACCTCTGCCCCACTTAGCCCATGCAAACCTGCCTAATTGTTTTTCCCATCACTTTGTTCTTCCATTCCCCTTCCCCTTCTTGTGTATTGCCCCCCTCCCTAACACCCAAACTATCCTGTGTCTACTCCCTGCCCTGTGCTCCACTTTCCCCTCCCCCCACAACCCCACCCCCACATCCCAGTAACCAGCAAAGCCAAGCTGCTGTTGTGACATGATAGAAATGGAAGCACTCAGAATTCTCCAGGGAGAGATTGGAGCAGGAACGCTGCCTGGCTGGATGCCATGAAACATTAGCTTCACATTTTTACCGTTTTGCTTAATAAAAGTTCTTTGTGAGTTTTGTAGTAGTACTTATTTTGACTTACCCTCGTGTATTTGATACCATTTCAGTAAGCCTGTGCATTCCTCTGAAGGAGACAACTGTGATCACACTCTACAGGTAAACAGGCACAGGATTAATGAGTTGTGGAACTGGGATTGTTTCAAGTGTTTGCCACAGTTAATAGATGATTGAACTTCCCAACCACCTCAAGTTTCACTTGCTGCACGGACACCCTGACTACGCCATTGCTGTAGTTAGGGTGGATTCGAGTTAGCGGTAGTCTGAGGAGGTCTGAAGTGGTTTAACTCAGTACTTAGTAACTGATTTGTCACACTGACTCCCAAGCCTTTTTTCCTGATGACAAAAGTAATGCAGATTTTTTGTGAAGAGACTGGAAAAATACAAAGAATAAGAGTCTGAGCCATCCGTGTTAGCAGTGCCATGAACAGCTACAAGCATTTTCATGTGTATAGGCTCTAAGGAATGAGATCCTGTTGTACTTATTTGTATGATGTGTGTTTGTTTCGTGCTTAATGAATGTTTTTTCATGTCATACGATTTTTGACAGATTTTTAAATAGCTCCATAAAGGTTATGAATTGGGCTGCTATCCTCCGGGTCAGCAGTTCGAAACTCACAGCTGTTTTGCAGGAGAAAGACGAGGCTTTTTGCTCCTGTAAAGATTTACAGCCTCAGTAACTGTACAGGGTCGCTATGAGTTGGAACCGACTACAGGGCACATAACAGATACAAAATATTGTATTGTATGAATACACCATTGTTTCAGGAATTCCTGTGTGGCACAATTTATTTAGCATTTGATTAATAGCCAAGCGTGTGGCAATTCGGGTCCACCCAGAGGCTCCATGGTAAACAGACCTGGCACAACTATTTTTTGACACTACGTTTCCACGATTACTGGTGAGTGGATGTTTTAGTCTAAAACTAACGGCCACTTGGCTTTCTGTGAGGAATTGCTTAGCCATCTGTTTCTTGCTCTTAAATGTTCATTCTGCAAGTCTATCTAGATTGCTATTCTAAGCCCCAGAGATAAGGCAGTAACCCAGAGGAATTAAATTTTCTTTAGGAGTCTGCCTTCTAAACAATAGAATAAATATGTAGTGTTAGCTGATGTATGAAGGACTCCTGATCTGGCGCTGTAGGATCAGCATTGGACTTCAGACCACAAGGTAGGCAGTTCAAACACACCAACTGCTCCTTGGGAATCCTGTACAGCAGGGATGGGGAATCTTTTCTGGCCATGCAAAGTAATCAACTTTAAAAAATTAGCTTGCTATGTTTGGTCAAACTTAATTCACCCCCAATGTGAGTCCTGAATTCCTGGTTAATGCGCTGGACTGCAGTCAGTTTGAACTGCAAGGGCAGCGGTTCAAGCTTACC